AGAAGAAGAAGAAGAAGAAGAAGAAGAAGAAGAAGAAGAAGAAGAAGAAGAAGTCAATATATAATGCATGTCTTTAAAAAATATGTCTGGTGATTCAATCATACATACATACATATCTGAATATTCAATCATACATACCTGGCGATTCAATCATACATATATATATCCAGTGATTCAACTATTTAAACCTGACGATTCAATCATACATACATACATACATACATATCTGAAGATTCAATCATACACATAGTTACCTGGCGATTCAATCATACATACATAAATTCTGAAGATTCAATCACACACATACTTACCTGGCGATTCAATCATACTCGTACATACATATCTGAAGATTCAATCATACACATAGTTACCTGGCGATTCAATCATACTCGTACATACATATCTGGCAATCAAAACATACAAACATGACCTGGTTCTTCATACTTTCATACTTGGCGATTCAAACAATCATACATAACTGGCGGTTTAATCAAACATATATATCTGGCCATCGATACAGTCATACATATGGCGATTCAAACAATCATACATACCTGGCAATTTAATCGTATATACCTGACGATTCAGTCATACAAACCTGGTGATTTAATCATACATACCTGGCAGTACCAACATACATACCTGGCGATTAAATCAAATATACATACCGGGCGACTTAATTAACATACTTGGCGATTTAATTAAACATACATACCTGGCGATTAAATCATATATACATGCCTGACGATTTAATTAAACATACATGCCTGGCGATTTAATTAAACGTGGCGATTTAAACAATCATTCATACCTGGCGATTAAATCAAATATACATGCCTGGCGATTTAATTAAACATACATACCTGGCGATTTAATTAGACGTGGCGATTTAAACAATCATTCATACCTGGCGATTAAATCATACATACCTGGCGATTTAAACAATTATACATACCTGGTGATTTAATTAAACATACATACCTGGCGATTTAAACAATCATTCATACCTGGCGATTAAATCATTCATACCTGGCGATTTAAACAATCATTCATACCTGGCGATTTAAACAATCATTCATACCTGGCGATTTAAACAATCATTCATACCTGGCGCTTTAATTAAACATACATACCTGGCGATTTAATCATACATACCTGGCGAGGTGCATGAGTCTGTGTCTGTGTCCTGAACTCCCCACCAGGACGGAACTATGACGTTACATAACTTTCTCGAAACGCCGTGAAAGGTCTGCGCCTTATCTCTTGTCCTTGCCACAGACGGAGAACGCTGACACATTTCGTCAAGGCTGTGTGCGCCAGGTGACGATGAAATCGGACGTGGAGTCATGTTTGGGCGTACAGTTGAAGTTGGACCTAGAGTTGAAGTTGGACGTGGAGTTGAAGTTAGTTTTAGTAAGTGTTTTTCCGGCACTCGCAACTCAATAAAGTCATAGAAGTGCCGAAGATTAGAGGTGTTACAAGAGAGTAACAAACACAAAGAAAGAAGGAGGAGAGATAAAGACGATACATAGATGTTTGATAGGAAAGAAGAAGCAAACCACACCAGAGCACCCGCCAGCCACCCACTGGACGTAGAGTTGAAGTTAGTCGTAGTGTTGAATTTGGTCGTATCGTTAAGTCGGGCGTTGAACTATAGCTGGATGTAGGTTTTAACAGAACGTAGTAAAGTTAGCCGGAAATAGCTCGCAGGGCTGAAGTTGGACGTACAGTTAAGTCAGACGTAAAGTTCAGTCGGACGTAGCGTTAAGATAGGCGTAAAGCTGAAGCTGGACGTAAACCCCCAAGTCAGAATTTAAGTCAAAGTCGGTCGTATAGTAGGCTCAGGAAACGATTTAGTTTAGTTTTAGTAAGAGTTTTACGGCACTTGCAAACACAATAAGATCATATAAGTGCCGAAGATTAGAGGTGTTACAAGAGAGTTTTTAAAAAAAACACAAAAAGAAGGAGGGGAGATAAAGACGAATGATGTTTGATAGGAAAGAAGAAGCAAACCACACCAGAGCACCCGCAAACCACCCTCTTGATGCTGGTAAAAAGTAAGACACACAAAGTGACAGAAACATCAGCGGAAAAATAAAGAAGTAGGACAGGTCTACCAGTGACGCCCTCTAACCACCCACCAAAGGTAACAGAGGCCAGAAAAAAAAGAGGGAAATAAGAGAAAGTTAGACCATAATGTCCTTTGAAATTCCCGATCGCCGAATCCGGGCTAGTCTTGGAACATTCGGGACAGTTGGCACACCCGCCTTCTATATTTTCTCCTGTCTGTATTCTAGCTGTCCTTATTGTCCTTTCGTGGTCTGAGCAAGTATGTAGAACC